AGTTGCGATTGGAGAACGATTAATTTGACAATAAATTGAATATTTTGTAAACGTTGTTCTTGGGTATATCTTTCCACGATGAAATTGTAAGCATTACTGAATACAATAAAAAAAATTAAAGATCATGACATATTAAAAATGATCGAAACGACGTTTCGGGGTCACGCCCAATTTTTAAACATTTTCAGCCCAACGGTGCGTACTGTAATCCCATGCACCAAATTTCAGGTTAGTTTCCTTTTAATGGCATTTTGTGGGCATTTGATATTAACCAGAACCTCTGGTCTGGTTGACTCATAAGCTATGTGATGAACAAGCGCTATATGATGGGGATGGTATGAAAATCACTCACCAGACCACTTGTGACAGCCTTTAAGGAGGCATCTTGACCTCTTAGCTTTGGAACACTTAGAACAACGAGTTAACACTCCTATTTGATATGGAAACCTCGCAGTTACGTTCCACGTTACATGGAGGTTTCTCCGCTAAATGGGCGAAGGAACATGTACTTACTGTTAACCCTGAGATATCAGAAAATTTTATTTTCACCAGAAAGGCAAAAATCACGCAATTCAATCCCTCATCTAGAAATTATTGCACCCTCGAGCTCTGTTATATATCTGAGGGTTATTCTTGGTAGAAAACTAAGCTGGAGAGAACATGTTGAATTCATAGCTTTTACAGCTCATCCAATTTGGAACTCAGGTGGAAGAGCAGTCTCGCTGGGACCCCAAATTTTATATTGGCCCATACTAGCATAAAGTATGGTGAAAATAACTAATGAAAAAGTGCTTCTTTAAAACGATGGAATAGTTGCAACAGGCCTGTTTGTTTGGAATAACTGAGGCAATGGAACCCAACGCAACACGAAACTTACTGTATATGATTATGTTCATAAGTAGAAAATTAATTGACTTTAAACTCAATACGCATCGTCTCTGAACTAATTTTTAATGGGCTCGCTCTGAAGCCGGCGGGAACACTCTTCCGTTAAATTGCCCTAGACCGTTTTGCTTCTTTAAGGATTGCTTGCAATTGGGAACACAACATTTCACACATTTTACAATGTGAAAATGACGAAAATAGCAAATATTGTAGGGTTGCATGTGAATATGTATACTCGACTAATTGAATCCAACTCTGGTGTATGACATTATTCTTTTATTCAAGAAATAGCTGAAATTGGATTACAACCATCACATCCTTTCATATTACAATGCAAAATCAAAATATCAATTATCAAATAATTTAGTGTAATGCGAAAAGTAAATGAAATCGGTTCAGACCTTTCCCTACCCTAATCACTTGTATCGGTCAATATGTGTGATATTATAGTGAAATTAGGCAAACATATTTTCTTATGTGATTTAAGGCCGTTTTCTCGATACCCGGTTAATATTATCCTTAACCGTTGGTATTTTAACTAGATGATAGCTTTAACTGACAGAACCGTTTTCACCAAGTTGTGGTTAGTTTACCTACAAATAGTTTGATTATTGTGATTGCGGGTGCAGAAACTGTTCACAAAACTTGTATTATGAACACTCAAAACTATGTAACTTTAGCCATGTATGTGCATGTTCAGACGAGGACTCGTTTTGCCGCCCAAATCGGTTTTCATAGGCGAGGGGACAACGAAGAAAGACGAAGAGACCGTGCCGCTCGTGCTCGGTTGGCAAGCGTGATGTTCTTTTTCGTAACAGCTCGCAGCTACGCAATTCAGCATTCGTTTTCATTTTAAAATTCCTTTCATGGTTGTAACAGTGCTCGGTTTCAAATGAATTTTACATTTTATTCGGAAATTTAAATGTTATTAGCCCTTTTTTGTATGAAATATGCATATATGCATAATATATAATGAAATTGAGCGACAAGAGTCGCCATATGAACGCCGCAGCCAAACAGCTGGATTTTTTTTATAGATTTTAGAACTGATAGCTATCATTTCTATCACTTCTTTCGGTAAAGTTTACCTGAAGCTT